ACTGAATTGAAATGGGGGATGATATCTTCCAATCGACTTCTTCTCTCGCTCTTCACTCCCGCATGTGCTGCCGACTTGTCCACGGTCGTCAGCCGACCGGTGGCGAGATTAGGCACACTGGCTCACGTAGCGCTATCGTCCATTATGCATGCAAAGCAGCAGTTAAGCACTCACACAAGATCCTAGTAAATTGACAAATGTACGACGCGGGCTAATGTATTCCCTGCTCTACTCTAACGTGACAACGAGAAATCGCCGTCGCAACGAAGATTCATTCGTACCAAACATCCATCCGGTTAGTCCTTATCTACTTTTGGGAATGCTGGGCTTTGCACGTGGAAGATAAGCGAAGACTGGAGGTATTTGACTACGGCTGCCTGAGGACTCTGAGAGCATTTCCCCTCTATAAAGAAGCCGATGCACTTCTAAACGACCACGAGGCGCTAAAATCCGTGGCTTGGTAGGCTGTCAACTGATGGGATAACTTGGTCCTCCTTAGGATACAATAGTGCTCTGATCTGGGGAAATTTAGCATGTGTTTCGCTGATCATACAAATACTTTGCAGAGCTATATTGTTCACTATCCAAAGCCGGCTGGCATCCGGCAACCGCCATATGTTGCATTGTTTTCGATAAGTGCAAAACGCGACATGTGTCTAGCACTATTCAGCATAAAAATGAGATACTCTTAATGTTTGCGGACTGAAAGAGGCGGCCAAGTTCCACGAGTAACGGCTGTCACCAAAACCAATGCAGCCATGTATATGAACGTGAGTCGGTGCCGATTGACAGTGTGTTCTGATTTATCTTAGATATTTCTGGGGACGCGTTTGAGAAATAGTCCAAAATGTCGCCTAATCAGACTTGCTACGACATTCAATTCTTCCCAATCTTCAGTAGAAGAGGACTCTCGGACACACACCTCCCCCACCGACTAGTCAAAATCCGTTCAAGTACTAAAAAGGAAATTCTTATGAACAGGAGATTGTTCCAGCATACAGTTCAATAGCAATTTGGGCTTCGCTTAGTTTATTTCACCAGACATTTGGATATAAATGCCCCCAAATCTACTATTGGCAACCCGAATTAATGAGTAAGGAGTTTAACGGAGCAAGCGTGTAATTCGCTACAAATACAGATATAAATGTCGCATAAAACTGTCATAAATAAAATGTGGATCTTACCAGAAGGAGTCCCAGGAAGAGAGCCAATGGCACGGACGAGGCGAAAACCAGCCAACGCCATCCGAACCTTGGTAGAATAAGGAAGCTCAAACCGATTTCCACTGAGCCACCAACTGCCCAGAACAGCTGAAAAGGGGACATTTTTCTCGCATGAAAATTATGCCTGTTCTTAGCAAGTTTAAAATAAGGATACATTTGACGCGGAAAGCCTTGTGTGGCTACTGGCAATTCGTGAATCAGAAACGGTTACTTGAGCTTGCATTTTATCCATTTTACGAACTAATTATAAACATTCTGCCTATGGGTCCGCAGCGTGCTGCTGTCAGAAGGAAACCCAGCGAACATGATTCGAAGCATAATTCAAAAACACAATGCCCAGATAACCAGTGATAACTATCGCTGAGTCGCTTGACAGTTCAACGAACGAATTCCGCTGTTCAGTTGGAGTCTAATTTGCGAGAATTATATCGAGTTTTTATAATGTCCAGAAATGCAGCGCACCTTTGCTGTTGATTGTGACTTAAATTTAGTTATTGTCGCCTTCTGAGTGACACTTGCGGCATGGTCGTTTAAGCAAATGATCGATTTTGAGCATAGTAAGCCCGACTGGAAAGTTCGATGGCGTGGTTTAAGGAGGTGCTCAATCACTAGGCGTCCTGGAACTGTCAATAAGTACTCGTGAACGTGACCCAAAATGTCGACTGCATTGCAGTAAACATCTCATTCACTCCGGATGGCACGAGCTACCGCCCGCGAACGGTAGTCTTACTTCCGTTAGGCTAACCGATTTTCGTGCTAACGTGGGCGTATCCACCGGTCGAACTATCCAACTTGATTGAAAGCATCGCGAACCCACTAGACCAGAGGTCGGGAACCTTTTTGACTCAGAGAGCCAAGCAAACAAATAAATGAAATATATTTAAGTGACAGCCCTAAAATATATTTGAAGGTTGAATTAAATTAAATGTGAGTAGAATAAGTCTCTGGATTTATTCTTTTAATCACAAAATCCGAAGTTTCTAATTCCAATTTTATCTAAGAGAGCCAGATGCAATCATCAAAAGAGCCACACCTGGCTCGCGAACCATACGTTGCCGACTCCTGCACTAGACGGTAGGTAAGCAACTATTTTTTCCCTTAACATTTGGGTGACCATCTAGGTTTAAACTATTTAGGTGCCCGCCGAACTGGCACATAAAGATACTAACACGGATGACGCGTATTCTAGGCCTGGAAATATGCTTAACTTTTGAAATTAGAATATCTGAGTTATTCCAGTGTCTGGATAACTGACGTCATGGATAAATAACGTGGGAACACCAAGTAAACGGCTTCAGTAAATTTCCATCAATTCCCCTCTGTCATAATAGTATTTTTTCCCTAGCGAACGCATCTCAGTGAGCCGCGCACTTCGCGAAACCCATCCACGCGCAGGTGATGGCGGATGAAGGCATTGGATATCTATTTATTCGATCCAACCGTTGCGGGACCGCCCAGGTTACGAGTCTCGAGGCAGTTGGGCAACGGTTTGAGTCGCTGGCTTCCTGACACTACAGATAGAACTTTGTGGCCCGGTATGTGATTTATACCCTCAACATTATCAAACGGAATCAAGTGTCGACATTTCAATAGCACTGCAAAATTTTTCTTTTAAAGAGACAATTTACGACGAAGAAAGGGGTGCAAAACCAGCTGGCCTTTCTAAATGTCCTTGTCAGCTACAAAGATTGTGGTAGACTAAGCAAAAGAATTTGGGAAAGCGACAAATACGTCGTAACCACTGAGCCTCTACAGCAACCACCTAATCAATCACAAACGCAGTCGCGGAATGGCTCTGTATCGGTGTGTTGAGACGCACTTAGGTGAACCCGAAGACAATGGTGCGGAATTGTAGTGCCGTGTGCGGATGCTCTGAGCAACTGGCTACCAGCGCGACTTTGTCAACATATTTAGTTTAGTTTACTTTATTTGGTGAGGGTGATAGGCAATGCCTTTGAAACCCCTATTGATTACATGTCGAAAATTCTACTGATTACATTGTACATATGTGCAAACCGAACGAGAGTTCGAACAGCAACTATGTCAAATTTTAGTGCATACTTCCGCACGTCAAGAATGTCTGCGCAACTATCGGTCGCCTTCTCCCACCGCCCGGTGTTGGACTTGTACACAGGCTGGAAACAAATGTTGGGCGCCAGGTACCTAGACCGAATGACTCGCTGCAATGGCAGAAGACGCCTGGAGTCATTTAACAGGTCTGGTGCAGTTGCGGACAGAGCAACTACGTAGGCTAGATTGAAAGATTACTCCGGACGCCGATGGCCGAATGTGCAGCGGCAGCAGGGAATAGAAATAACGCTAGCTCCAAGGTCGTGACTGAGTGAAGAAGACGCGGTCACACATTCAACTTCCACAACGCCGGTCTTCCTGCTAGATGTGACAACCGCGTGAGCCGCGAGCGATCTCGACTTGCAGCGATAGTGCTCCTGAGCGAAGCAATTATCACGCTGATAATCAAAAACGGCAAGTAACGACGCGGATGCGTGCGACTAAGCAATGATTACATCAAAAACGGTGCCCAGTAATGAACGCGGGATTTATTAATCATGAGGAGTATGAGATAGGATGGCAAGTGCGTTCCACTGTGCATCCAGCACCCTAATCTGCATGTCTGGGTTTGAGCAAGAGTCCAAAAGGTCAGGCGAATAAATTTATTCTTTCAGTGATTGCATCTTATTCGTCTGCCAGGGGCTTTGCAGCAATAATCTTGCAGGGTAGGGACGGTTCATCCACATTAATTAGTTTTGAAGTTACTCGGCGCTTAGATGCGCCAAAAGTAACGTCGTGTTCAACACAGCAGACTGTTTGTTTCGTACACTGAATACCGATATGATACCCTATCACCAGTCTTGTGTGATGCACATCTATTATAAGTCTAATTATAGTGGCAGATATGCGTACACCGATCTGTTAGAGGACACAGTCGTTCGTCCAGGGTGCCTTTGGAGCTCACACTCGAGCCTACACCTCAAAGCGGCTAAGGATATAGGCAGAAGGACATTACCGACAAAGACAAGGGAGACTAGGATTTTCACTGGCTGATGACGGCTAATAAGCTCGAAATTGCCATCCCAGTCTCCCTTGTCTTTGTCGGTAATATCCTTCTGCCTAGTCTAATTATATATAGTTTTCAATACTTTATTGTTCCTTGCACGCAAACACCTCTACAGGCAATTTTGAATGCATATGCAGTGAACGATGGTAAAAGCATCGAGTTGCAATAGATCCTTTCCACAAAGATGATGATGATACGTCTACGACAGCGGCAAACACGTCAATAAGTTTGACAGACTATTAAACAGAGAATGGCAAGGCACTGGGGAACTTTGGTTCGAGTAAGCGCTTATGACCCATCTGCTAGACACAGCCTGTGCACTACCTGTGCCGTACTCGAGGGCATTTTTGTGTTTCCGGTCCCAGCGGGTAGCTGCAGGAAGGTAGAATAAGCCCGAAGCAGACTGTATCAGTCTACCCACCTTCTTCTTATCGTCGCTGCTCTCTGTGAGTAAACAAATCGTGACACAATGTCCGCACTCCTGAGCATAAATGGACAGATTTTCCGCGTTAAAAAATAAACTTTGTAAGAAACGATATTCTTGTTTTCAAATCAGTGCGCTTAAATACTTAAAGTCATCTGTCACTCTTTACGCCATTCCTTTATCTAGAGCACTGTGGGGAGAGCAAGGCAAGGCTTAGGTCAACGCCCACCTGGGAACAATAATTACAGTGCACTCCCACCTCCTGCCTGAGTTTATACTCAGAAGACAGTGGTAAGTCGGTTGACATAGGTAACGTAGATGGCAACCAGTAATGAGGGAGTGTTTTACGAGACCGGCACCCAGAGGGACCACGCAGCGGACTGCCGCAACAGGTGACACACGGGCACACAGTGGTAAAAAAGGGATGCAAGAAGGTAGAATTACAAAAACAATTAGGCGGACTTAGGCAGCAAACAAAAATACCTGCGCGGCGAGGAGTACAGTGGCACGGTGGCGTACTGGAAGGTATTCTGCCATAAGTGCATAGCTATAAGACAAAAAAATGTAAAAAAGTTTAAAAAAATGTTTTCGGAATATCGTGCCACAAATACATTAGAAACCCCACAAACGCTCGGAAATGGTCACTGCAAATAAGAAATCCTGAAAAGGCAAAATCAAATCCTAGTGGGTTTTTGCGCGAGAAAAGGTCGCATAGAATTCTCACGACGGGGCTTAGGTGGGTAGAGGGAGAGGAGTAACGTGTCCAAAGTTCACTAGAGAACTAGCAGGCTCGAAGGTAATGAACCGTGTTACCTAATCACGTGTAGGAAATTAAATCCACCGGAACAGTCGCTCTGTAGCTCGCATAATGAATAATGAGATGGGAAGAATAAAAGAACACTACATATCGAAGTGGTCGGCTGTATGGTAACTCCCAGTAGAACACATTTTAGCCACTCAAAGTAGAATGTTCAGTCAGTAACGAGGAAAGTCTACAACCGACTCTTTTTAACTGCCTTACCCCTACTTCCAAAGTGTCATAGGTAACTTCCCATCGTAAGAAGCTGGGCGACAGCTAGACCATTTAATTTGTGTTTGTGGACCATTACCTTGTCTAGCTAACACCCTTCTGCCTTGTTCGATCTCTGAGGAAATTAATGTGCGCACTAGGAGTAAATCCTGCGGAACAAACCTCTTCAGGTTCGATCCGAAAGTTACTATAAATAGTTAAGCCGAACTCCATCAGTTATCGAGGAATAACCGCTTAGTATTCACAAGCTGCTAACAGTACCTGTGCTATCAGTGTGATTCATAATTCAATATTTGTATGTGTTTGACTGCCCGTTGGCAGCCTATGCATATTATTCTGTTATTCCGTTGTGGCTGGGGTGGATTGCCTCTCAAGTATTCACAGTAACCTTCGGATCAAACCTGAAAGGATTTATGAGGACTTCGATCTAACGCCACCTGATCAAAATCTAGGACGTCTTTAAACTATCAACGTGATCTATAAGTTTTGGCTTGTAAAATGACGGACAAACCCGGTCGTCTTCTCAGAACGGAAGGTCATGCTGCCCTGCCTCCTTCTTAATGTGGCGCCGATGTCATGTCCACTTAGTTGGAATCCGAGCTGTCCCTCTTCCTCGTTGCGTG